TCTGATGTCTCCAGCCAATTTTGAAAAATTGCGTGATACATTTTGTTTGAATGGCTTCCATTGCTCACACAATTCATCTGTGCGCCATGAACCTTCGCAAAATACACCATTAGGATCTAAATAATCTCTGTATCCTTCTGGGCAATATGCTGCTTCATCTAGAAGACATTAATACTATAAATATATAACAAAAATAATTATTGTAACAAATGTTGGACAACCACTTCGTTAATAATTTAAGTACTTTTATACCTGATGAATTATTCTCAGTGATCATATAATTGTGTAACACAACAGCTGCCTTTATTATTTTATCTGTATTATTTGGTGCTAAAGCAATGGGTCTTCGAAAAATTCTCCATCGATTGGCAAGTATACCAAAGGCACATTCAATACAACGCCTACAAATACATTAATTAATAGTTATAATTCTAGATACAAATAATGTAAAGAAAATATAAATATACCTTGCTCGACTTAAGCGATAATTAAACACACTCTGCAAAGGGGACAGTTGTCTACCAGGATATGGTCTCATAAAATCTGGGCGGAGTTGAAATGCTTCATCTCCTATCAACACATGTGGTGCTACAGTATTTGAATTGGGCAGAATACTTGAACTTGGTATCCCCAATGTTCCATTTTTCAAATTTTTGCCTAGTGCTGATGCTTTCAGAACTCCTCCATCAGAAAATGAGCCATATGCACCAACATCAACAGCTAAGAATTTGCAATGTGCATCAGCAATACCTAACAATACAATGGAGTTAGTTCCCTGGAAGAAATTTAATCAAATTAAAATTCTTGAATTTTATATATCTATTTCAAATTTCTTGACATAGTTAAGCATTACTAATTTTATCATGCTTTTAAAATAGTATATAGGTTAATAGAACACAATTCCTTGATTGAAATTATTAAGATTATCCATCAGAAACTGTTTTTCTAAAATCATAAATAAGTGATATAAAATGCATTATGTTTACTCTATAATAAAAATATATTCATTATGAGAAACTGATGTTTTAAAATAAGATGAAATGATTAGAAAAGCAATGCAATCATTTATATGAAGAAGTTATTCATTCATTTTGAAAATCACCTTATAATTGTAAAATTGAGAGCCACTATTTGCAGGCTGCTGAATGTTGACATGCTTGCCATCAACTGCTCCACAGCAATTTGGGAATTGCCATAATCTTTCAAATTCTATGGCAGACTTCCTCCATATCTGTTCAGTAGGTTCCTGCAAGGAATGCACAGTACAACAGATATATTTCAGAATAAACTAATGTAATATATATATATATTAGAATAAAATGCAGTACAAAAGTATAGAATCATCACAATACTTAATTACAATTATGTATGAAATTTTACATAGCATTGTAGTGTATATTTTCTATTTTATATACCAGACATACATGAATACTCACCGGAATGTATTTTTCTTTAAGTGTGTCCCAAATAACTTGGCAAGTCTCTGGTATTATTTTTTGGATTGTGGAGAATCCTACATAAAATGCATAGGCTAAAGATTTGTAGGAGTCTCCAGTTGCCAAAAATCTAAAAAAGCATTTAATTAGTTGATAAACTATCAAATTCTAAATTTTTATCTGAACTATTATATTCAAATTTTACCTTAATGTAATAGCTAAACATTCACCAGGAGAAATAGGCTCATTATTGCTGTATTTTTGTAATTGATCAGCTATCAGCGTTAATAATTTATCAAATAGTGACGGAGCCATTCTTANATCAAATTCTAAATTTTTATCTGAACTATTATATTCGAATTTTACCTTAATGTAATAGCTAAACGTTCACCAGGAGAAATAGGCTCATTATTGCTGTATTTTTGTAATTGATCAGCTATCAGCGTTAATAATTTATCAAATAGTGACGGAGCCATTCTTAAATAATTTCTAAAAAATGAGGAATGATTATTCCTCATATCTTTCATCTATATATAAAAAAAATTTTGTTTTAATATTTTTCAACTATAGACAAACATGATGTTATACAAATTCTGTTTTCTTACCAAATTATGATAATGTCCTTTAGCCTTTCGCTGTTTCCAGAGGGGATGGACACCGTATCTTCTTTTTATTTTTACTTCTTCATGAAGTAATCCTAGTAATAGCAACTTTTTCTTCGCTAGTAATATGCGTCGATGTCGAACCATTTTCTTTTATTCGTCAGGGAACACAAGAACACGTGACTCGTCAACTTCACGCCACTTTCTCTCGTTCGTTCGCGTCTGTGTGATCGTATAAACGAGAGCGAGAAACATAAAGAGCGAGAAACGTCATCACCTCTTCTCGCCACATATTCTCGCTCGCTCGGAGAATTCGCTCGCTCGCGTCTGCATAGTCGCACCCTAATTCTTACTCGTTTGAGAATTGGGCATACTCGGTTGACTCATCAATACCTTTTGAAGGGTGAAGACCAGCCAGTATGTAAGTATTGTAACTGCGTTATAAGTGTAAAACACATACTTTGCAAC